GGAAATAGGCCGAACACGACCAATCGTCCAACAGGTTGAAAAGTCTGCAAAATACTGGTGCTAGTTCATTTGCGCACTTTTTGAGTACGATGACGGGCACTTCATCACGACCAGATGCCTTGTTGATATTGAGCTGTTTCAAAATTCGCCTGAGTAGACGCTGTCGAAGAGTGATTTTCGGCATTGTAGATTTTAGTGTGGGAAAAGTGGCTGGTGCCTGTCCCATATACTTTCCATATAATACCGATAACATTTGTTTTCAAATGTGTGTCTGTGATTTTTCGTCATCATAGCTGTCACTCCCTTATGAACGATAACCCCCATAATTAGAAACTTCCGCGAGATGGAGAGATTACATAGGTCTTACCTTCCAACGTACGATTTCTAATACAAGTTGATAGATGATAGGGGTGAAAGTTGAAATCGAACCAACGGTCACATATCTATTGATTGAATGAGCATAACAAATCACTTTCGCTAACCATCCAGATGCTGTCTAGAATATATATATCCACAATAAATGCAATTCAAAACAGATAGTCTTACAAACACCAACATCAATCGTACTCAGCAAACACAGATTCAACAAACACCATCGTCGTACCTTGTATTGCAGGACTGCCTGAAAAGATGAGATAAATTGCTACTACATACGATGTCAGATCTATAGTCGCATATACTGAATCGAATAACCACGAGGAAAAAACAAAAACAAAATCATAGTTCATTCTCAAATTTTATGGTGATGGGACAAAATAAGAATGATAACCAATAAACCACATATCAACAAAAGTATATTCAAATTACACTTTATTGTTAGATTTCCACTGAAGACTTCAGAAAACTGTCACACTATACAATAGCTTTTTCAAGTTTTTTCATACTGACTTCGAGTTTACAACACAACTGAAGGCTAACAACTTGAGGCTAACCCTGTTAGAGTTGTTCAATTTTCCATTTTTTCTGAGTGATATTTTGTGCCATTATCACATAAATAGGTGAAATGAATCACTTCCAATGAAAGACAGCACAACGATTTGAACAGCGAGCAGGACATTGTGTTTCACCATGCGATTTAGATCTGATAATAATTCCAATGGACGTCCTATCTGGACGAAGTACCTCCCTATTCACATTAGCACATTATAAATTCGAGGCATCTTAATAAGAATGAATAATGGCTGACAAAGAATTACTAGCAAAGAGAAATGCCAAACTACCCCGAGATGAATAGGAATAGAAAAAAATTCCAACGAAAAATAGAGAAACGTATAAGAAAGGAAAGGAAACCGCTAGTTACAAGAAGAATCGGACAAATCCTAGCAAATCCTGCGGGTTTTCACGGTCAGCAATATTAGTGATGAAGCTCGAATAAACCGCGCCTGAAGTTACAACAATAGGAATTAATGCTAGTCTGAGGCTTCAATACTCCTACTCTTCAAACAGTGGCACATTTTCATGGTTTTGTAGTCAAAAACTCGGTCCCAATCTGTTATGTCTCCAGATTTCGCCACTGGTTTTCGCAAGAGTCCCAATCTGCCATGATCCACCCGGAGTTGAATGTCCTGAGATCTCCTCCATATGGTAACTGTGTGAAGAAGACAGATTTTTTTCGTCCATCCCCGCCCACTTTCAAGCATCCTAAACCTGCTGCCTGGCACTTCAGCTAGATTGAAACATACACTCTTATGCTAGTGAGTCAGCCGCAATTGCTCTTACTTCCTTTTCATTTGATGATTCGTTATACCTGACTCTACTGTGTGTAATGTGCCAAGTGAGGACCGAGAGTCCTCCGGGTGATAGGGTACACCGAGAATGGAAGCTAGAATGAGGTCTATCTTGGGAAGGGGGTTATGACTTGCAGAGGAGTGCTATGAAATGGTAATAGATATGCGACGGGAGACATATGGGGTCATTTCTGTGAATGGTTGAGACAGTTAGGACGGTTTCTCAATTTCAGTAGCTCCAAGGATTATCATCATTTGGAGAGTTTATTTGGTGAGAATAGCATTGGTGCACCAAAATGCGAAGCCCCATACTTACTAGAGGTGCTTTTTTTTCTGATCGGCCTTTCAACACTTAAAATGTACAAGAACCACGTGCTTTGAGATAATTAATTTTTCAGCCGCTACAGAAAGTAGTTAGATTGGACAAACACGCATGACAATGATGACGAGGAGTACGTGCTCGCAATAGCGCCCAGGGAATTCGCAATTCGACAAATCTTCACCATGGGCGAACAAATAACAAATATTCATATGCGCTAGTCCGAAAACGCCGAATATAGATTTCTCTCGAATTTATATACGTTTCCGAAAGTTGTTTAGCGAGCTGTGTAAACACGTGTTTGTTTGCGTAGGAGACATCGAGGAATCCTTCCATACGCTTTGTGCAATGTCCACCATTGAATCATCGGAGGGAGGCGAATACGAAACGTTCGGTTCGATATTGAAATGGAACGGAGAGGGATTGCGTGTTAATTGGAATTCGTCGAAGCCGGAGGAGCGCTGTGGAAGACGTAAGGAATTGAATCGTGGTCGGTGTTCAGAAGTGGGATAATCGGTATTTCTCAATTCCGTGTTCCGAACGTTTCACTGACTTATTCTTTGTTTCGGATTATCGAATCATTGCGAATAATTGTGATGGCTGATCTAGGATCGGAACGAAAATATTTATTATTCGGTACTAGTTATAATTTTTGCAGGTACTATTTTATATAATTTACGTTAAATCTCTGAGAAAGCATCAGGAATGAAGTGAAATAAAATATATATTTCAAATTGTTGATTTCCTGACTGTCTCTCCCACTGAACATTTTGGGTTAGAATAACGAAAAGTGTACCTTCGATTAGGTCAGAAACCTTTGTGGAAGAAGACTTGTTAACGTTATATTGCAATAATAAAAATTTACATCAATTTTTGGAATGGCATTTACAAACAGCACGTCAAATAATTTCTGGAATCATAACGAATAGTAAAAAACATAATTAAATAATATCACACCTCAAAGGGTAGGTATTTATGAAAACAAAATGGTACTCAAATGGAGCATAAATCAATAATAATGCGAAAGTATGTGCTGTTTATTCATTTTCCAAACAGAGGCGACACACACTGCCGACACAGTCCCAGTCTCTCCATATGATAATTCAAATGACAGTGACCTGTTAGAAGGCCTGTTAGGCATCGTAATTCATCCCTACTGTAGTCCAACAACTGTTTGGTATTACGCTTCAAAGGGTGAATAAACGCCTTGGAATGAGCCAATCCTGGAAGATTCTGCCAGAAGTCCATAAATCTTCTTGCTATTCAGGTGATCAATCTTTGTTTGGCAAAGCCTAAAGCAATGCCAATGACAGGTTCTGGTCCGATGACGCTGCTTGCAGCACCCTCCTTTGCAAGGGAGTCAGCAGCCTCATTGCCTTCCAGGCCAGTATGGCAAGTAATTCAGACAAGACAGAGTCGTTTTTGGCACTTTGCTACCAATATAGATGTTGCTCGGTAGAAGACAAGAGCTTTCAACGCCGCTTGACTGTCCGAGAATATTTTTATTGACTTGTGAATGAAATGGATTCTCCCAATCTTCCTGCATACAATTCAATATCGTAAATTTTCGCTTGAAATACAGTCGCATAGGTTCCTGTCTTGGGTCTGCGACTAGAAACACCTGCACCAGAACCGAAAGGTGTTTTTGTTCCATCTGTGAACCAATAACTATCTGCTTTTAATATTTCCTTCTCCTGGAGGATCCAATCCTCTCTACTCGAGAACAGTACTTTAAAAGGCAATTCGTAGTGACAGTTGGAGACATAAAATCGAAGGTCACTTCCAGAATGCTGTGAATTCCAGTATCAACCAAGAGTTGCACAGGTCTATATGCAGTCCATCTAACCTCTCTCTCCAGAAAAATGTACAGAGGAGGTAAATCTAGAAGGATCTTCATGGCCACTAGCGGTGTGGTACTGATGGTACCACTGATGGCCAGACAAGCCTCGATAACGCAGAGAAATTCGCCTGGGCCGTTTTCTGGTGAATAGGCGAATATATTGGTGTGCATATTTTTTTTCTAATTGTTCTAATCGATTATATAATGCATACAAATACTGGAAACATGAGATAATGCCAAAAACATGAATAATTAGTCAGAAAAAAAAATTATAAAATTGTATACCAAATATTGACAATTCAAACGGTCGACCATTTGGCGGGAATATGTGACGTCAAAGTACATGTCAACAAAGCTATCCAAAGCACAGAGAAATAAACATAGTTGATTCTATATTGTATTACTTGATAATTTCAATAAATTAGAGATGGACAGTAGTAAAAAATCAGTTTATAAGTACTGCAAAGTGCAACAATACAACGAAAACTGCTCTTCAAGAAGTATTTTTTCTTGTGCCGAGGAATGCGAACATTTGATTAAAGTGGTGTAGAGCTATAAAAAGGGACGAATTTAAGAACCCGAAATTGTCTGCAACGAGCTGCTTATACTGTTGTGAAGATCACTTTGATGTAAGTATTGTTATATTTACATAGGTATATTTATATTTAGTGTCACTAATAAACATATTCACTTCTCGAATATAAAACCTTTCTGACTGCTGTTATTCTTCATTTTCAGGTAGAAAAGGATACAGAGAACTTCATTCAGTACCAAATAATGAATAAACAACAAGAGGTATCTGTTACATTACGTCTACGTGAAGGTATTGTGCCCCACAAATTTCAGTGTCAGAAAGTAAATAGGCCAAAACCTGTGAGAGAGGCTGCTCTCAAAAGACAAAGACTTAGGTTGCTTCAAGAGACTCTATCAGAAGCTGCTCCCAGAGAAGTTATGGAAGAAACTAATTTATGTGTAGGCCTTGTGGATACAGCAGATAAAACAATCACCAGAGAAATAAATTATTGTGAAGCTGGACCTAGTTCATCTTCACACAGAAAATTTCTCAACAGAAAATAAAAGCCTTGCTTGTGACAAAGCCGTTCAAGTTAACACAATGAAGCCAACGACAATAAAATATAGAAGCAAAGGTGTCACAGCTGGTCCTAAGACAAAAAATGTAGCAATATCACCGTTTCTTGTACCAGTTAAAAACACATCAACTTCACCTATTAAAACCGCCCAGATTGCCGGTATGAAAAGGAAGTTATTCCCGGATACAAAACCAACAGACGATTTATCTATTACATCGCAATCTTCATCAATCTCTAGTGAGTATGAACAAGAAACTACTTCTTCCGAAGCGAGTTGGTCTCAAGATAACAAGGACAGACAATTTCGAAACGTAATGCGTAGTTCAACATTGACCGCTGTAGAAAAAGAGCCTAAAATGATGTTAGGACTGCCTAATGACAGTTACCATTTGATAAAACTATTAAGTGATAATATCCCAGTTCCCACTATTGACATTTTAATAACCTTGAAGAAAATAAAGTTAAATGAATCATTTGACATATTAACTATACAATTTGGCTATACACAGAGCACTATAAGTAGAATATTTTCGAAAACAGTAATTGGTCTAGCAGAAAAAATGAGGGAGTTAATTGTGTGGCCTAAACCATCTGACATAGTTAAAAATTTACCTACCGCTTTTAGAGCAGGGTATTCTAAAGTTTCAATTATAGATTGCTTAGAAATAGAAATTGAAAAACCGTCCAATGCAGTCCACCAGTATCTGTCATGGTCACAATATAAGAAATGTAATACTCTGAAATGCCTTATTTCTTGTACTCCAGATGGCCCTTCCACCACAAAAGGATATGGTGGAAGGGCTTCTGACATTATTATAGTAGAAAATTGTGGCTATCTAGAATGTTTACCTCCAAACACATCTGTTATGACAGACAGAGGCTTCAAAGACTCGTCTCATTTGATAGAAAATGAAAAATGTACCCTTATTCGGCCTCCTTCAGTGTTCAAGTCTACAGCAAGTACAGAAAATGAGGTGAAGCAGTTCCAAACCATAGCAGCATTAAGAATTCATGTAGAGCGTGTAAATAAACAGGTTAAGAGAATTTCATATGTTGTTGCCTCATGCATGTGTACATCACAGCTTAGTTCCGATAGTAGATGAAGTAAATAGTAATAGTATGTGGCATAATCAATATGCAAAAAGTTTTACTAAAAAAATAAATAAAATTTTCAAGTGTTTTATTTTTATCCATATTGGTGTGGCACACTCAGAAGGTACCTTATTTTCAATGAACAAACTCCAAATAAAATAAATATAGGTTACAAGTAACTTGGCTAACTGACAACTAAAATTTCAACTTGCTCCTCATACTATAATTTATTTCATATTTTCATATATAATAGAAAAAATAGCATTACTCCAGAAGAGCATGCTTTTTTCCAAAATATTTGCACAATAGTTCTTATCATAATTTACAATATAAATGTCTACTTCCTTTGATATTTCAAAATCATGATGTGCAACACAGAAAAGCCCTTTTTTTATTTGAAAAATTCATCTGCATTTGGACCTGAGCCATATATTTTGAGGATATAATATCTATTGAAATATATCTGCTTATGACTTTCTCAGATGATGGACATTTGATTTCAATACTGTAATCAATACTCTCACCATGAGGAGATGCACCAAATACGGGATAATTAGGGTTTAAGATCAGACCACACCCATTAATTTTTTATTTAATTTTTTTTTCGACTTCTTTCAATACGTTTTCCTCTAGCAAACGCCCTCTTTTCATCGCCTCTGTGTCCTTTAATTCAATAGCTCCCATTATACTTTCACATAAAGCGCCTTCGAAAACTTTGCAGTGTGCTGTTTCATGCATCTTCGAAGCAGTAATCCTAGTATACCGTAGCTCATGCCACAGCGGACAATCATTCTGATCAATTGTAGCTAGATTAGCTTCATTGCAAGATGATGTGTCCATCATACTCCTGCAATAGTTGATGAACTCTGTGGCGTTAGCTGGTTTGTTTGGTAGTGTATTTACTAAATTATAAATGGATAATTTTTCTACTCTGCTTCTTTCCTTGTAGTATCTCATGAGTTGACTTTCCATGTGACCGATGCTTTTGCTGTGGTTTATTAGAGTTGGCAGAAGGCTTCGAGTATCGGCAGATGGACCAGGTTTAGCTCTTATGTACTTTAGGGTTGTACCTATCTTGGATAATTTGGAGTTCTTCCAGTAACAGTCGATACTAGTAGAGGGAGGGTCTTCGTTACGCTTGTGCAGCCAATCTATAAAAGCTATTGCATGCTTTAATCCACCTGAAAATTAAAAATATATATAATAATTCTACTTTCAGGATGAAACATGATCAAATTTTGAAATCAGACTCTTATTTTTATGAAACAACATGTGTAAGTTGCAACTCGTGTTAATACACATTCGTGCTCTCTAAATAATTTACCAATCAATTATATGTACCTAAATGTGCAGCGCAATCTTTACATTCTGCAGAGATAATTCTCTGTTCAGCTTCATCACATACTGCTGTTACAGAGTAACACTTCTGTTTCACATTATGTTCGGGAGAAATACGAGCTTTCACTACACATATGTTTGCTTCCCTATTTACTTGAACATATCCAATAGCTGAATCGCCATAAGAATATCTTTCGGACCTAAAAACACAAATATTATCAGGTTAGAATAAGAAGTGATTGTAAACATTTTCTGAAACAAATTTTTCACTACATTATTTGAGGTTATGTACACTTTCTCAATGTTAGTAAGCAAATAACTAGAAAACTGAGTGAAAAGCTGAAATTAAAGACACTTATACACAATATTTATTGAGGTACCTTGCAGCTTTGACGCCTCTTATCTCAGCTGAAGTGAAATCGGGATGATTTGCGAAAATAAAGACATCTATTCTCGGCAAATTGTCAGATTGTGCCATGACAAATCCGGCTTCAGTCATTGTATTTATTTTCTGGGACATCACAGTAATGATAAAATGATAATAATCAAATAACTGATTGCAAAACTTAATTAGACGGAAAAACAATAATAGAAAATAGTACAGAACAGCATGTAAATAAATGTTCTTGACATGGACTTTGACGTCATCCTAAGATGACGTTGCGTTTTACCTAATTTGAATCTGTCTTGTAATTTTTACGTTTTCAATCATGAACTATTTGAAATTTATAAAGTATATAGTCATGTGAACTATTTACATTGATCTGGTATCAAAATAGATTGAGAAAAAAATCAAAATGAGCTATTTTATATCACATGCATATGAACTATTAAGTAAGTATTAAGTAATAAAGACCTCCTTGTCCTTAGTAGTTTTGAAATGCCTTTGGTCTTCGGCAGTTTATGGAATTTAAAGGTGATTCGTTGGTGATATCGTCTTATGGTGTTACTTATTCTAATGTTCAATCACAACACAACAAAGTTTTTGTTTCGGGGTTGAAATGTATTTCCACGTGTTAAAACCGAAAGTGATCATAAAAATTATATTTCAGCTCTTGTTTTCAAGATATAGTATCATTATATTATATATATGTATATTGAGTTTTCAACAAATGAAATATTTCATCACCAACAGTTGGTACACATGTTTGTTTACATAACACCCCTCTCATCAGCTGTTCTTAAGTAGTAAACATAACCTATGTGAGTTTGTCAATTGTACGCACGTGGTTGCTATTGAAATTATCGTGTGAAGTTGATTTGAGGAGATGCACCAAATACGGGATAATTAGGGTTTAAGATCAGACCACACCCATTAATTTTTTATTTAATTTTTTTTTCGACTTCTTTCAATACTTTTTTCTTTAGCAAACGCCCTCTTTTCATCGCCTCTGTGTCCTTTAATTTAATTGCTCCCATTATACTTTCACATAAAGTGCCTTCGAAAACTTTGCAGTGTGCTGCTTCATGCATCTTCGAAGCAGTAATCCTAGCATACCGTAGNTTCACTTTTCACGTATAGTATAACTACTCTTTAAGATTAAGTACTGTGTATCTCAAAAACCAGAGCTAATAAAAATTTTTCATTGTTATTTTCGTTTTTATCACTCCAAAATTAGTAGAAATTGACTAATTTTGTGTAGGAAACATTCAAAAAATATTTTTTTGTTGTGTTGTGATTCAAAGCTCATATCACCATATTCATTTTTCTTCTGAGAACATGCGAAATTCTCTTGAATTTCAAGTTCGGATATATCAACACATTCAGTAGAAACATGTGAGTATTGTTGAACGTATTCAAAATGAGAGATAAACATTTTCCAAATTCATTTCTATTCCACGATAAGGATTGCAGGGAATGATGAGTATATTCCAACTTCTCATAAAAGCAAAAATGTACGGGGGTGATCATCTGTTAGATTCAATCGGTAGTTTGGAAAAATCGTCGGACATATTTGTAATTGCATTTCATGGCATTTTCATGTATCATAAATAACGAATAACTGTTTAATATTCTTCAAAAAAAGTCTTATAATATAACATAATTGCGGAAGTATTCAACCCTGAACAAAGCTACTCAACAATCAAATACATAAAAATTTGTCAGCGAATCATTTGCCATCAATAAAAAAAGTACTCTAACGAAATTTCTGTTTACTCAAACCAGAACTATGCAAACAATTGTCCAGAATTATCTTTCGATAAATAATCAAATTATTTAGCAGAATCAATTAATCGAAATCAAGTTATATTGTTGTTAGAGTTTTGTTGATTACGACTTCTCCGATACTTGGTGCTTGAAAATTCATTCTCCCTATGAAAAATGATCTCAACAAAAGTGGTCATATGGGTTGATCAATATCGAGTTCGCACCAGTGGTAACTGTTATTTTTGTGAATACAAAACCGTTTAAATTGTTGATCTAGTAGCCTTTTCTATAGTCACTAAGGATTTTGATGAAAAATATCAGAGTTGTTCAAAAACAAACACAAAAATGAATGTTGATTCCAATAATAGAGTCAATATTCGTCTTCCTTTTCAATAGAGAAGTATTTTGCACAAAAAACAATTTTTTTTTTCGTTTGTTGTTTGTGAGTTTCTTGAATTTGAAAGAATATAAAAATGCTACCAAATTTTCAAGTTTAACGATTTTTATTTCCAATCATAACAAAGTAAGCAAAGGATAAGATAGAAAATCAGCTGTTTTTTGAAAAATAGAATTTGAAACCTCTGGCGTGGAAAAAATCTTCTGGATACATTTACCCTCGCCGGAAGAAAAATAGTGTATCTCGACATGCGTTGAACTAACCAAGTATAGTATCAAGATATGACTGGGAGAAAAGTGTTTTCTAATTTTTTTTTGTGTCAGAAAAATATCACCTGATTCAACTTCATTAGAGTGTTTCCTAGAGTTTGGTGAAAAACCAATATTGTTTTGAAGAAATGAATTCCAAACTGTTTTTTTGGAAGTCCTCAAATATTGAAAGAATTCAAACCAATAATTACAATTGAATACAGAAAATTAGGTCAAAACTAGTTTCGCAAATTCTTCAAATATAAAAAAAGATAATTCAAAACAAAAACTCACAATTAAGTACAATGGAAAATTCACAAATATTGCTTTATATATTTTTTATTTCGTTTTTTTTAACTAGATGTCGCCATGGTAATTCATGGATGACACTGCAGATTATGAAATACGCGTTTTCCATTCATACATCTATAACTTATTTTCTTCTTTTTGTCATTCATTTTCTCTTCAAATACTTATTGCGTTCGTGATCATCCGATTGTGATACGCCTCTGTGCCTATAAATAAAAGAGTTCACTTGGCAAACTTGATCATGTAGTTGACAGATGCCCTATAAGTCACAATAAGTTCCAAACTAGTGTTTTTGTCTTCTGATAGTAATTAATGATGCGTCGAAGGAATGATAGTTTTTGTGAAAGAATTTTAATGAATCCAAACAAACCTCCGTTTTTGTCTTTATATTTCTTATACACACCAACTATAATGTTGGTTACTGATGAATCAGTCCCATTTATATGAGTTGAATGAAACTCATTATCAGGAAAAGAGATATTGTAACAGTGGAAAATAAATTAACCGATGTTCACTGTTCAAAAGTATGCTTCATTCATTCTGCCCAAATATATTTTCTAATCATTCTTT